TCAACTTTTTGTATGCTCGAAAATGTATCATAATAAATGTTAGAAAACATGCAGGCAAAGCAACAGCAAGCTAATTCCTCTCTGTCCTAAACAGAAATTTCTTCCTCTTGCATTTAATACCAAAAATGAATTAGAAAACTCTTGTTAATGCATTTGGGCCAGTTACTATAAATGGCTCAGGCACCCTCTACAACAGAGTCTGGGGACAGCAGTTTTACTGTGGAAAAAGCATAGCCCTCTTAACTGGGTATCATTTTCACCGTCCTCTGAAACCTTATTATTCCCACACCAAGGATCCTATCAGCACATAGCTAATAAGTTGTTGGATGGGCCTGGTATTTGCTTATTTACCATTTTTTAAATAAAGTAAAATCATTTATCTTCTTTTAGTTGGACTCCAGTAGAGAAACATAGAAAAACAAATGCCACAGCGGGCATAGCTGCTATTCATGCTTTCCAAGGCTTCCAACCCATCACCTAGCAGTTCAGTTTGGAAGGGGCAGCTTGTGCAAGGAGGTGCTGCCAACCACACAGATTTCTAGGAACGACATTTTCCTATGGGCTACAATGGCGGCTTGGCCTCACATGAGAACCCTGTACTCAACCCTAGCACCCCTGTCCACAGGAGCTGACTCATGCACGTCAGCTCACCGAATCCAAGAGCCACTGCTGTTCAGAAAATAATAATGGATTCTGCTCCCAAGTTCATGTAACTGAGGGGTCTTCAACCAGCAATAAAAATAGCTTTGCGCCAAAACCGGTTTGGCTCAGTGGATGGAGCTTCGGCCTGTGGACTGAAGGGTCCCAGGTTCGATTCCGGTCAAGGGCATGTACCTTGGTTGCGGGCACGTCCCCAGTGGGAGGTGTGCAGGAGGCAGCTGATCGATGTTTCTCTCTCATCGATGTTTCTAACTCTCTATCTCTCTCCCTTCCTCTCTGTAAAAAATCAATAAAATATATTTAAAAAAATAGCTTTGGATAAACTTGTGAAGTTGCTTCTACATAAGGACACTGAGTCATATGGTATCACTCAAGTTTGTTTGTTTGTTTGTTTCAGTGATGCAGGCAAAATGTAAGAAATGCAGGTACGGAGGCAATGATGTTTTACGTAGTCTGGTACTTCGTCACCCAAGCTCCTGGGGACGGGAAAGGCAAGCAGCAACTTCACTCCACACACTGGCTGTTTCTATTCCTTCTGGAAGCTTTCTAGAAGGACAGCTATTAGAAGGTAAACTTGATAAATTAGAGCTTTTCCAGAGAGGAGAGAGAGAGAGACAGACAGACACTACCTTATAGCTAAAAGTTTGTATCACTTGGGAAAAGAGTATGAAGTGAGATTCTTAAAACTAGTTCAGAGAATTCTCAACTTTTTGATTCTCTCCCAAACTGAAAGGCAATGCTTATAATACATATGCAACACACTGTATATAAATATACATAACGTCTCCAGGAAAATGGGGAAGACAGGGTTTCCTGTTGACTTCTGACTTCCGCCTATTTGGGAGGACAGGGAAGCCTTACCTAGGTACAAGGATGCATTTTCCCTCTTGACGTTGTCATCTAAGTAGGTTGGTCCCAGGGTGTAAATAGGTGTGGAGCCCATGCCAATGAGGATCTGTGCACAGACGAACAGAGCCACAAAGAGCCAGTGGTTCTTCCCGCCCGAGTCCTTCCGGCAGGCGCGAGGCTCCACGGTCCCCGTGAAGTTGCCATTCTGACACAGGCCTTCGTTGGAAGCCGAGGCGTTCAACTCTTGGATCTGGTAGGGAGGCGAGATGAAGTGAGGTAAGGCGAAGACCACCGCCCCGAGGGCGATGAGAAGGCCACCCACGGCCAGCCACAGCGGCCGCCGGCCCCGGCCCCCAAAGTAGCTGACGAACACCACCACCACCAGGCTCCCGATGTCGAAGCAGCTGACCAGCAGCCCGGACTCCGAACTCTTCAGGCTGTAGCGCCTTTCGATGGTGGTGATGACGCTGCTCAGGTACCCAGAGACCATTAACGACTGGATGAAGGTCAGAAAGCACATGCAAACCAGGAAGCAGCGCGAATCAGTGAGGACCACATAGAGGCACCTTCTCCCCTGAAGGGTAGCCAACGTGGACGACACCGACATGGCTTTGCCCATGTCCACCCTGTGGTTGCAGTCCACGAGCCCCGCCATCTCTGCCGAAGTGGGCGGGGCAGAGGGGCTGGACGCCAACCGGCTCAGGCATTGTTTCAACTCCTGGCGGCCCAAAGCATCTGCACCGCCTGGCTTGGCGCCTGCGCTCGCAGGGCTGAGATCCGGCCGGCAGGAGGTGCTGTTCAGGACGGGTAAACTCTTGGACCTCAAGGTCTCTGGTTCGCACTTCTGTTGGACAGCTCCTACTGTGGCCGCGGCTTCCAGCTGCTCCCCCGCCTGGGGCTGCAGCCCAGCGCTGGCGTCCATGGCTCTTAGAATTGAGATTCGATCGCTGATTGCATTCAAGGACTCCCGCGCTTTTCATCCACCGGCAGGAGGGCCCGAAGTCCGGCCCACGCAGTCGTGCCCTCCACGGACAGGGGCTGGGGGATACAGAGCTGCGCGGCAGGACATCCTCACCAGCAGGGAGGTGCCCAGGGCATCCTGAACGCAGATGCGACCCCGAAGCTTCGCAGCCGCGCGCCCCAGGGGGCAGGGGTCCTCGCGGTCCTGCGCTGAGCTCTGCTCGGGGTCCACCTCGGGGTGGCAGCTCGCAGAAGGAGCCCGGTGCGTCCTGGGCGCATCCCCTCCGCCGCCGCCTCTCGGCCCGCCGCCCGGAGCGAGAACGCCCGCCCCGTACCCAGCGTGGGGGTGCTCAGGGCTGATGCCTGCGACGCATCCCGCGCAGCTGGCTGGGCCAGAGGCCTGCTGTCCTCTCCACCTCGGCTCGCGACACCCTCGGGAGCAAAGATGCCAACCTGTAAAGCAGAGAGAGGGAGGTCAGCAAAGGACGGCTGCGGCTAGGGCTGGCGTTCCGCGCCCCGGGGCCAGCGCGGAAGAACTCGGACCGTCCCAAGTGGGACCGAGGGCTGAGCTAGGAGCAGAGCCCTGGAGGCGACGGCTGCAGGACGCAGCCTCTAGTGCGGGAACAATAAGCAGCAGGCGGTTGGCGGAGACCCTCCCTCATTGTCTATGGAGGACCTGCCCCCGCCCCGCCCCTTTTGCCACAAACATTGCATCCGCTTTTATATGTGAATAATTATCAACCTGGCAGCTCTGACTCAGAGGCAGTGTCTTTTATTCGCGTGAACTAATTGCAACCTTTGGGTACTCCTACTCCAGTAACTCAAAATAGAAAATGCCCGAAAGAACAAAGGAAAGTTTGTGTGTTGTGTGTTTTTAGCAAACATAATGCATTCCCAATTTTCAAAAAAAAGGGGGGGGGGCTACGTGTGTAGAAATGTGTGTACACAGTTGTGTGCAGGCACGTGTGCGCGCCTGGATGCGAATCCGTCTGCCCCATCAGTTAGAGACACGCACTCAAAGCCCGAGGCAGCCCCAGAAAGGTCAACGCGCCTGCCTCTGTCTTTCCGACACTAAAAATAACCCCCTCGCCGAAGAACTCTTCAATGACAAACACCCGGAGCGTTTGAGGCCGCGGCCCACACCAAGTCCCAGCGCCCAGAGTCAAGCGAAACCGAAAATTACTTTGCTCAGGGGAGGGGTGGGGGAGCCACAACCGAACAAAGAGACGCGGGCCCCAGGAGCAGCCCTGGCACGCGGGGGCCGGCGGCGAGGTGCGCTACTGACACCCGGCGCACCCCACCCGGGTGGGCCCGGGGCGCGCGCGCGGACACGCACACACACGGCATGTATGTGGTGGAGCCCCTCGCGCAATCCCGCACCGGGCTGAATTCAGCGAGAGCTGAAAACAGGTGTGTCCCCGGGGTAAGCCGAAAACAGGTGTGTTCCGTTCCATTCCCAGCCCGGAGGGGGAGGGGGGGGATGAGCACCAGGTGGGAGTGGAGACAGGACTGCGCTGCATTGGGTTTCCTTCCGCAGCGCGCTTTTGTGATGCTGCTGAGAAAAGAAAGGCAGAAGGGGAATGGAGAGAGGCGGAGAGGCTGGGCTGCAGGGGCGGCCGCTCCGGCGTCTCCCTCGGCTCTGCCGGCCAGACCCGCTCCCAGATTCCCCGCCTGCCGGCCGCTCGCAGCCCGAACTTCCCCGCCGCCTCCCGGCCTAGGAGCCTTCCCGGGGAACCCCACGGGCGGCCCCGCGCCGAGCCGGGGAATCCCGGCGAACACCCTCCCGCACCGGGGGCATACGGGCCCCTGCCTGGAAGGAGCGGGGGAGGGGGGGCACCCACACCTCCGCGCAGACTCGGGTGGACAGGGAGCTCCCGAGCCGGCGTGGAATCCCAGGGACACCCCCGCGCGCGCTCACACACACACACAAAGCCCGCGAGGGGCACAGGACCGCGGAGTGGGGGGGCGGGCAGCTCGCCGCGCCGCGGGGGCGCACGAACCGCGGCTACTCACTCGCGAGTCCGGCGGTAGGGTCGGGCTGGCGGCGGAGGGAGGCGCGCACGGGGCCGGTGCGGGAGCTGGTGGGAGCCGCCTGGAGAGGCAGCCTCGGTCCAGCCGCGAGAAATCAGTGAATAAGGCTGTGACTCAGGCTGAACTCTTCCCCACGCCTCGCCTGTCACCCAAGCCTCCGTTCCTCTCTGAACAGACACCGGCGCACAGACGCTCCGAGAGCGAGAGCGAGAGCGGAGCAGCAGAGGGCGCAGGCGCGCGGGGGGCTGCCCGGCCCGGCCCAGCCCAAGGCGGCGAGCTTCCAGCTGCCTTTCACCTGCGCGGCGGGGGCGGGCAGGAACCCTGAAGCCTCCAGGGGGTTCTCCCAAAAAGTCAGCTGCTGAGGCAGAGAGTCCATTCGGAACAAAGAAAGTATTTCTGTTCGGGGCCGCTCACAATGTCTCAGGGACCATAGCAGGTTCTTGGGACCAAAGATGAGCAGAATAGGGTCCCTCCACTAAGAGAGCACTGTCTTGCGGGCTATCGCTGTAAGCAGCCTGAAACAAGGCGGTAAATTCTAGACGAGGTGCCCGGGAGAACCTAAGGCCCATTAGCCTATTAGATCTCCATCTTCAGGCAGGAAAGGCGTGTGCGAAAGCACAGGGGCACCGGACAGTAAGTGTGTCCGTGGATGCTAAGTTTTCCACGGAGATTTCAGGGAGGGGGCAGAGGCCTCGAGAGGCAGAGTATAAAAGGTCAGCAAGGACTCAGAGGCTGTGTGCTGTCCGCCCTGAAGGGCCAGTGGCATTGTGACTTGCTCACCAGAAAGCAGGTCCTGGAGGTTTACGACGGCTACAGGTACCTGCCCCTGGCCACGCAGGTGGTGCTCATCAGCGCCACGCTGCCCCACGAGATCCTGGAGATGACCAACAAGTTCATGACGGACCCCATCCGCATCCTGGTGAAGCGTGATGAGTTGGCGCTGGAAGGCATCAAGCAGTTTTTCGTGGCGGTGGAAAGAGAAGAGTGGAAATTGGACACGCTGTGTGACCTCTACGACACGCTGGCCATCACACAAGCCGTCATCTTCTGTAACACCAAGAGGAAGGTGAACTGGCTGATGGAGAAAATGAGAGAAGCCAACTTCACGGTGTCGTGGATGCACGGGGACCTGCCGCAGAAGGAGCGGGAGTCCATCATGAGGCAGTTCTGCTCCTGCGCCAGCCAGGTGCTCATTTCCACCCACGTCTGGGCCCGCGGCCTGGACGTCCCTCAGGTGTCGCTGATCATCAGCTACGACCTGCCCAACAACCGGGAGCTCCACATCCACAGAATCGGGCGGTCGGGGCGGTACGGCCGGAAGCGCGGGGCCATCAACTTCGTGAAGAGGGACGACATCCGCATCCTGCGGGACAGGGAGCAGTACTGCTCCACGCAGATCCACGAGATGCCCGGGAACGTTGCCCATCTGATCTGAGGCGTCTGCTGCGCTGGGCACGAGCTGGCCAGCTCTGTCCCCTCGGGACTGTCCAGAGCAGTTTGTTTAAGGAGGTTCGTGGGAATTGAACCTTGACCCCTCTGACCACATTGTCAGGGCGTGACAACACCTGCAGCTCACGGGGAGAATGTAGGAAGGACACAAAGTTCTTGCAACGGGAAACAAGTCTAGTGGTGCCTCGCAACCCGTCCCGGATGCGGTTTGGGGTCTGTCTTCTTTTCTTACCCACGTGTAAATAATGCTTTGCTCTTGGTCTTTTTCATTAAACATTTTAAACTTAAAAAAAAGAAAAAGAAAGAAAGCTGGTCCTGGCTGTGGTGGGTGAATCAAGGCCACACTAAGAGCGGAGGCAAGTTAGGAAGCCACCTCTGAGCAAAATGTGCTGAGGCATTCATTACTGGGCTGTTGAGAAGGGGGAACTGGCTGAAGATGCACTGAGAAGGTAGATGTGTCCAGACCTGGAAACTGAAGTCATCTGGTGCATGAGAAATCGGGCCCATGGAGGGTGTCTCTGGAGTTTCACACGGTGTGACCGGGTGGCTGAGGTCCAATGAACACGCAGGAGGAGAACCACGCTCTTGGGAGAAAGATGGCTCTCGCTTCAGAGGGGTTGACTTTGACATGCCTTTGGGACAGCCAAGTATCCAGCCCCATAAATCATTTGACATGTGACACACAGGAAGTTTGGGCTGAGGACATGGATTAGAAATCAACAGCCCAGAGCTGGCATGAAGTGAGTAAGGAAGATCATGCAGACGTCAAACAGGATGACAGCTGAAAGCGAGCAGGAGCTGTAGCAAGCAGGAGGGCCCTGGTGAACTTTGACAGATTGTGGTGACTACGCTGGCTGTCGCTGCCATACCAGAGCCACTTCACTGGACATTGTTTCCACTTTACAGATGTGATGAGTGAAGTGCAAAGAGATTAAGTATCTTGGTAAAGGTGCACAGCTAATCTGTAGACGCTATGAACCCATGTGTCCAAAAGTCCATGCTCTTAAATCTGACTCTATGATCTCTCCCTTACCATTGTATAGCAGTTTGACTTTCCAATGCACCTCATATTTGTTAATGATCCTACTTTGGTCCAACAACCACCATACCCACAGGTGACCCTTAGCAAACATCCCCTGCCACTGTCCCCTCTTCCTGAGATCTCCATCAAGCCCCACGTTACTTTTCCAGAAAAAGGCAATGTGACTCCAGCAGCCAACCTGCCCAGTGGGCAAGGATTGATGGCACTTCCTGTACCTGCATACTGATCGGCACTTATTCTGGATTCAAACAGGATCGATCTGTCTCCTATTACATCCTCCCAAGCTCTTTGGTGCATCCTCTCATTTCAGCCCCGGCCCAGACATACGGTTGTTCTATAGCAAATTCAATCAGTTGTGGCAGGTGCCAGCAGAGGGCTTCGGTGCTGAAAGTCAAATAGCCATGTCTCTGGAACACGCTGTGTTTATTCATGGTCGATTACCATGGTTATACTAGAAACAACTTTAAGAACCGGTAGATTTTTTTATTGCCACTAATAGAAAGATCATGATTTCTAGACAGAATTTAAAAGGCCCAGTTAGCTACCCACATAGGAAATAAGAAAACATTTTAGCAAGAGACATTTCTTTTGCTTTCTCTTTCATAGTTAAATATGACTTTAGAAAAGGCCAGGTGTGTCTCCATCAGCCCGAATCTTTGGATTCATAGAAGGAAATGGACTCACATCATGGGGTTCTGCTACCCCTGTGGTTTATGTCACACAATGTGACATAAGAGAGTATGGCTGGCTAGAGCAGGACACCTGCCTTGCGAGGAGTATTGGGAGAAGAAGGATGTGACTGAAGATTTCAAATTCCCAGGCCTGCTTATGCTCCTTCTAAGTCATTAATCAGTCTAAATCACACGTACGTTGCTTCTTTCCCAATCTATAACAACAGGGTAGCCTTAGGAGTTACCTGGGGCATTCTATGGGCTTAGAATCCAGCTGCTCTGGAAAATGGGGCAGGGGGAGCAAAGGGAGCCTTTTCTCCACGCCTTCCCTTCCTCCTTAAATAGGTTCGCTTCAGAGGTGTCCCAGACACACCAGAAGAACTGAGTTTGGGTCCAGAATATTTTCTGGGCTTACAATATGATATGTAGCCGCCACTGCTGTAATTGAATTAGGAATTGGTTGTTTGAGAGGGAACAAACTATATCTTTAAGGTAACCTTTTTTAAATATTGAAATGCAGCTATACTCCCAGACCCTGAAGAGGTATCCAGATTAAGCCCTGTAACATATTTAATCTAGGAGAACCAAGATGGCGGCATAGGTTAACGCCGGAGTTTGCTGCTTTGAACAACTACTTCAAAAGTGAAACCAAAAAACGGAAGGGACATCACCCAGAACCACAGGAACGCTGGCTGAGTGGAAGTCCTACAACTAGGAGGAAAGAGAAACGCATACGGACACTCAGAGGAGGCGCAGTGCTAAAGTCAAATTCTGAGGTGCGGAGTGCGCGCAGCGGGCTGGTGGCGGAGGGCGCGGTTGGCGTTTTCAATCGGGAGGGAGTCGCAGACTCTGAGCTCCAGATACAGGCGAGTCTTTAGGGACCCAGACTCAAGCGGGAGAAGCAGGACTGTCTGGCTTCGGTCAGAGCGAGTGCAGCTTTCTCTCTGAGCTTTGCAGCGGGTGCTGGGACTCAGAGAGGCAGAGCCCCTGGGGACAGGACTGAGAGCCGCCATAACTGCTCTCTCCGGCCCACCCTGTTGATCCTGTGCGACCCGCCCCGCCCAAGCCCTGCACAGAGGCATTTGCCGGATAGCCTCAGGCAAAGGCCAGATTAGCACCTCCCTAGAGGACAGAAGTTCTCTCACTGCTGACACAGCTGATTCTCATAGCCACTTGGCCTGGAGGTCAAACCCTCCCTGGAATTAGCTACAACAATCAAGATTTAACTATAAGACTGCACACAAAGACCACTAGGGGGTGCACCAAGGAAGCATAACAAAATGCGGAGACAAAGAAATAGGACAAAATTGTCAATGGAAGATATAGAGTTCAGAACCACACTTTTAAGGTCTCTCAAGAACTGTTTAGAAGCCGCCGATAAACTTAATGAGATCTACAAGAAAACTAATAAGACCCTCGATCTTATATTGGGGAACCAACTAGAAATTAAGCATACACGGACTGAAATAACGAATATTATACAGACTCCCGACAGCAGACCAGAGGAGCGCAAGAATCAAGTCAATGATTTGAAATGCGAGGAAGCAAAAAACACCCAACCGGAAAAGCAAAATGAAAAAAGAATCCAAAAATGCAAGCATAGTGTAAGGAGCCTCTGGGACAGCTTCAAGCGTACCAACATCAGAATTATAGGGGTGCCAGAAGATGAGAGAGACCAAGATATTGAAAACCTATTTGAAGAAATAATGACAGAAAACTTCCCCCACCTGGTGAAAGAAATGGACTTACAGGTCCAAGAAGCGCGGAGAACCCCAAACAAAAGGAATCCAAAGAGGACCACACCAAGACACATCATCATTAAAATGCCAAGAGCAAAAGATAAAGAGAGAATCTTAAAAACAGCAAGAGAAAGAAACTCAGTTACCTACAAGGGAATACCCATACGACTGTCAGCTGATTTCTCAACAGAAACTTTGCAGGCCAGAAGGGAGTGGCAAGAAATATTCAAAGTGATGAATACCAAGAACCTACAACCAAGATTACTTTATCCAGCAAAGCTATCATTCAGAATTGAAGGTCAGATAAAGAGCTTCACAGATAAGGAAAAGCTAAAGGAGTTCATCACCACCAAACCAGGATTATATGAAATGCTGAAAGGTATCCTTTAAGAAGAGGAAGAGGAAGAAAAAGGTAAAGATACAAATTATGAACAACAAACATGCATCTATCAACAAGTGAATCTAAGAATCAAGTGAATAAATAATCTGATGAACAGAATGAACTGGTGATTATAATAGAATCAGGGACATAGAAAGGGAATGGACTGACTATTCTTGGGGGGGAAAGGGGTGTGGGAGATGCAGGAAGAGACTGGACAAAAATTTTGCACCTATGGATGAGGACAGTGGGTGGGGAGTGAGGGCGGAGGGTGGGGCGGGAACTGGGAGGAGGGGAGTTATGGGGGGGAAAAAGAGGAACAAATGTAATAATCTGAACAATAAAGATTTAATTAAAATAAATAAATAAATAAATAAATAAATGAAAAAAAAAAACATATTTAATCTACACCTCTATTCTTGATTCGGGGGTGGGGGGGTGGGGGGCGGGGGGGGGAAGTAGTTTATGGCATGCCTGATTCCTCAATTTGTTTTTTTTCTTTTTTAAATTTAATTTTTATTGAGATCTAATTGACACATAAAATTGTATGAGTTCTAGGTATACAACAGAATTATTTGATATATGTATATATTAAGAAATGATTACCATAGTACAGTGATGGCGAACCTATGACACACGTGTCAGAGGTGACATGCGAACTCATTTTTTTGGTTGATTTTTCTTTGTTAAATGGCATTTAAATATATAAAATAAATATCAAAAATATAAGTCTTTGTTTTACTATGGTTGCAAATATAAAAAAATTTCTATATGTGACACGGCACCAGAGTTAAGTTAGGGTTTTTCAAAATTTTGACACGTCGAGCTCAAAAGGTTCGCCATCACTGCCATAGTAAGTGTACTTAACACCCATGACCACATATAGCTACAAATTTTTTTCTTGTGATGAGAACTTTTAAGTATCCACTTTCCAATATCCAATACAGTACTGTTAACTATAATAACTGTAAACTCTTTAACAGCACTTGGTATTTCTACCCTCACTTAGAAGAGGTGCAGATCTGCCCCGGGTACTGTGAAGACAGTCTCTCCGGCCCTATGGTGTGAGGCCCCTGCGAGGGCTGAAGGAGTATGCTGACCAGCTGAGTCAGCTTTAGCACTGCACACCACACAACCCAAAAAACCCAACCAACT